TCACAAACCAATACTGATCAATGGGCTAGCATTTGGGAAGCGCTAATACAATTAAACTCATGTGGTCTGAGGTTTCTTCGTTTCCACTTCCAGATCTACTCTCCACCCTTCCCCCAATCTGCTCTTTTCTGGGGAAGCTGGTCTCTCTGAACTTGTCATTCAGGAGCTCTTGCCCTCTGGTTTTATGGTAGACTCAGCCCAACGGAGATAGAGAAGAGCACAGGGTGAGAGAAGGGGAGGTCAGGCTATTTATTCCACTGGTCCATCTACCATTATGACTAAGCACAGGTTGGCTGTGGTTCTGTTTCTCTACCCAGGCCGTCAGCTTGTAGACATGGCCCCCTGCTCAAGCTCTCTTTCTAGCTTCTCTAATAATACTCTGCCATTATCTCTTCAGGCTCTTGACTCCCTTCAGGTCAAGATGAGGCAAAGGTAATCTTTGGCACTTCTTGGGAGTGTCTCACCATCCTTTCTTCATGGCCTTAACTGTGCCCACATGTTTGTAAATAGTCCCTTCATTAAACTCCCCTTAATCGCTCCTTTGGAATGACTTTCTGTTTCCTGCTGAGATGTGCCCAACACATTTTTCATTTAAAAATGAAAAACTGAGGCCCCAAGAAGTAAAGCCCAGATGTCACACAGCTCAGGTCACGTGGTCAGGTCCAGAATATGGCCTTCCAGATTACAAACAGTGTTGTCCTTAGTCAGTGCTCATCTGTCATCCTCCCGATGGCTATCTTCTTCCCAGTCATACTGATAGGCAGTTTCTGGAACCATCTTTTCACTGGACTTTGGCAATAACTGTAGTTTGTTCAAGTTTTAAATAAAAAAACCTCATATTAGCAGACTATTTCAGCAACTCCAAAACAGAGGAATACTGTTTCCATTAGAATGGATTGGAATCAGGAAAAACTGAGTTTTTTAAATTGCTGCTTAAGTAGAAATTGGCAAATGAGACTAAGAAACTATTGCAAAAGCTAAGCACAAAAGGACACAAGGATGATGAAATTTCCACTGTAAAATGAATGCTGATCACCGAAGATGGGGTTGGGATGACATAAACTGTCCAGAGTAAGGGGCTGAGGCGGGAGCCTAGGGAAAAAGTTTCATCAGCATGAGAGATATGAGCAGGTTGTAGAAGATAAAGAAGTTTAGAGCCTCCAGTGTCTGTTAAGCAGGGGGAAAAGCAGTAGTAAATAGACGTTGAGCTGAAGCTTGACCACTGCGAAATGTGTTGAAAGCATGTTTTATCAGGCATGAAGTTACTGCGTCACTGAGGAGAGGCCGCTGTTGGAACCCTGGACATTACAACTTTTAGACTGCTGGAAATATTTGGTCGTCTTAACTGGACCCATGTCAAAAAGCTCTTCTGTGAAAGTGCTATTTGCTATAATCACACCTTTAATCAGCCATGTTACTTTTAAATAAACACACATGCACATATTTAACCTATTAACTTTGTTCTCGCCGCATACTTGAATTTCCCACTGTTATCATTCCATCATTTACTCTTACTTAAGTGTCTCTCTGAGGACATTCTCTTTATTAGGGTTTAAAAATAAGCTAGAAAGTTTTAATAGCACATGATTCTCTTTAAAGGAGTTGGGGCAGTGGAATGACCAATAATCACATTAAGTGAGTGTTTCATCTGTCTAAGTTACCTGCTTTACCATATTTAGTCTGCACAAAAACCATCACCCAATTCCATGGCCATCTCCTTGCATTCTGCTACCCTAGCTTGTACCTGGCCTTTGGCAAACAGAATTTCCCCAGTGCTCTGATCCCTGTCAGCGTCCCAGACCAGATACATGGAGAATATTCCCCAAAGAAGCCACTGTTAGCAGAGAGGGCTGCCCCTCTGGTGTAACCACCAACTTTGCCTGCTGCGGCTTCATCAATGACTACTTACTGGGCTCCTACTAAATGCTCAGTGCTGTTTAGTCTGGTTTCTGCAGGCATGGGCCTTTCTATATATTGCACATGGATTCAGAGGCAGGGGAAGGATTTGGGTCAGAGACCTTGAACCAGTCCTGAGGAGGGGAAGGAGTGTGTATGGCTGAGGAAGAAGAGGGAGGTCATCCGAAGATAAAGAAATACTGACGTACTTAAAAGTAAGGAAGGGGATGATGAAAAGATACTGAGATGGCTTAGTGACATCGAGAAAATTTAAAGTAGAAAAAAAAGAATAGATTTTCCTCTAGATCCTCAAGTGAGGAAACTCTACAACTAAACAAGAATTGACTGTTATAATTTTGTATAAGATTTGTCAATTAGAAGACTGTTAACTTGAACACACATGCATAATGCTCTAGTGTCTTTACTGTAATCACAGTTTAGTGGATTTTTAAATATATTTTTTATTTAAAATTTTTTTTTTAAGTTTACTCATTTTTCAGAGACAGAGAGACAGAGCATGGGCAGGGGAGGGGCCAAGAGAGAGGGAGACACAGAATCTGAAGCAGGCTCCAGGGTCAGGGCTGTCAGCACAGAGCCTGACGTGGGGCTCAAACTCAGGGACCGTGAGATCATGACCTGAGCTGAAGTCAGATGCTTAACCGACTGAGCCACCCAGGTGCCCCCAAATTTTACTGGATTTTTAATCTGTCCCATTCTTTTAGTTTAATCATCTTGGTTATCTTAGTTCCATGTACTGAAATGACTGGTTTGATATTTAGGTAGACATTTTTAAGGCAAAAAGCAGAAGTTAAAAACTGGAACTCCCACTGAATTGCTGGAATTCACCACTTGAAAATCCACAGACAGGTTCAAAACCCAAACACCTGTATAAATCATACATGTGACAGCATTTAACAGACTTGTGACTTGTATAATTCACTCATCAATTACTTTAACTACCAAGACAGATTGCGTTCATAATAAACACAAATGGCTTTAGATGGGGTGTGCCCAGAAATGCCTGAAGAATAAACTTAATGGTAGAAATCTCATCTGCTGGTCTTCTGCCCTTGTATCCTCCAAAACTAGGATAAGGACTAATGACACCTAACTTCTTTAGGGTCCTTGAAATGACACACACACCTCTAAAACATCTAACCCTACGTATGTGCTTATTCCTGAAATTATTCTTGATTGAATTTGTATTCCTTTGTTTGGTAAGTGGGGGTTGCCTTCCATTAAAGACTGCTGACCTTTACATAAACCATTTTTTACCTCTGTGTAGATACACTTATGGCTCTTTCCCTTAAGGGAGAAGGAGATTAGGAAGGCAGGAGAGTGACAGCTTCCACTGGAGTATGGATGCAGACGATAGACTGCCTTCTTCACAGTTTGCTCAGGACTGTCCCTACTTCACAACACATGGCAATTTCTTATATCTATCTGCATAAAAAGTCCTATGACACTTAATAACAGTCTTCAATCAATTCTGTTTCATTTGGCCTTGACTTACAATGCTTTTATCTTACTGGAAATGATTGTCCTTTGTGGCTAGGGAAATCTGGGATGTTTGGAGAGAAAGACCCAGAGAAACAGATTAGTTTGATCTTACTTGATCTACTCACAAAAAATTTAAGAAACTACCTTTTGAGATCAAACGTTAGACAGGAAGAGTTTCCCTGGAAATGACAACTAGATCTGGAAATCCCAATCTTTTTGGAATATTTGGGCCTCTTGAAATTTCCCCTTTCTGCATAAAATGTTTCACAGCATGAATTATCTACAGGTGTAGATATATAAGAATATTGTTTTGAGGCTAATTTTTTAAGATTTTTCTTCTGGACTGACTTTTGAAATGTATTGGAATCATTATGGGATGCTGAGGATCAATGATTCATTCCAAATATCATTGTTCTAGCCCAAGATGTTCATCCCCCAAAGTCTGATTGGTGCAGGGGGTGTGTGAGAGGGGGATTACGCAGCCGTGTGTGATCTAGGAACCAGGCTGTTTTGGAACATAGCACCATTTCTTTGCCCTGCATCCTATGGAGTTTCATTTTATCAAAGGCCCATGGCAGGGTCCTAGGGTTGAAAGTACTGTATGAACAATTGTATGATCTTTATGGCTGGTTCCATTTACCACCAGATGGCTCTATTGTATCAGTAGGAAATGCACACATGTATAAAAATGGTGGGATCCTAGACCAAAGAAAAATACAAAGCACCAGTCAAAAAAAAAAAAAAAAAAAAAAAAAAAAAAAAAAGAACACAGTTCTTTCTTTTTATGGGGTTAATTGGAGGCAGTTAGAGGAGCCTGCACATTCATAAGGAATTCACAGGAAGGTCACAATCCTAGCACATATGAGGTCTCCCCTTTCAAGTTTCCATATTGCTGTGTAATTATTAATTGTCGGGATAGCCAGAGTAGTTAGGAAGTGCTTTTGTCTGGGGAGGGCCTGTGACTGATACTTCCTTACCAATTGTGTATACTCTCCTGCTTGTGGATGAGAAAGGGCAACTTCAGAACAACTTGGAGAGGCAAAGTCTACATATACCTCTGCTAACTTGAATCCTATTAGCCATATTCTGGGCAAGAATGAGCCGATTCCAAACCCTGTGGTATCTTTGCTTGAATGAACCTTGGGGTGGGAAGGTGGCAATCAGAGGAAGCAGGTTTCTCTGAGTTTGCATGGTTCTATTCCTCAGGAGAGGTGAATGCTAAAAATAGAGGCACTCTAGGTGACATCTCTCACTAGGAATGTGAAATTTTGGTCTTAGCCTCTTGAAGGAAAGTTCTGTTTGTATCAAGAAAAAAAAAAAAGCTGCAAACTAACCAAACTCCAGTGTGGATAATTTTAGTCTAACTTTCTAAAGCTGTTCATTGTCACAATTTAATAAGCATTTTTTTTACCCTCCTTTTAGACACTAAACTCTTGAGTAAGACCACTGTTTTTATAACATTTCACTCTTTTAAATTACTGTGTTGAAGAAAAAGAGATGATTTGTGTGAGTTTATTAACTCTATCCTTAGCCCATAAAGTTGTTTGAGATGCACTCAGGAAGCTATCCGTATCACAAAATAATATTTGATTATTGTTTTAAAGAAAGAGTCCCTGGAAACTGGACAGATGGCGTTTACTTTGGCACAACTTGAGGCCTTGGAGATTTGCCTGAAGGAAGCAGAAGAAAAGGCTAAAACCTTATCTGAACAGGTAATACCTGTCGTTCACACTGGAAATGTATGTTCCTTAAGGGTGCAGGAGAACAAATGTAAATCTAAATACTTGTCTAAAAAAAAAACAGAAGGAGAACAAACTTAATTCCCAAAATAAAGTTGGGGGGGGTGTTGCAAAATGGTACAAGTTTCCAGTTATAGAACAAATAAGTCATGGAAAGAAAAGGCACAGCATAGGAAATAAAGTCAGTGATATGGTATTAGTGTGGTATGGTGACAGAAGCTAGCCATACTTACAGTGAGCACAGCATAATGTATAGAGATGGTGAATCACTATGTTGTACACCTGAAACTAATGAAACATTGTGTGTCAACTATACTCAAAGTAAATAAATAAATAAATCTGTTAAAAAAATTTTTTTTATGTTTTATTTTGTATCTGAGAGAGAAAGAGAAAGAGTGTGAGCAGGGGAGGGCCAGAGAGAGAGGGAGACACAGAATCTGAAGCAGGCTCCAGGCTCCGAGCTGTCAGCATAGAGCCCGATGCGGGGCTCGAACTCACGAATTGGGAGATCATGACCTTAGCTGAAGTCGAATGCTTAACCGACAGAGCCACCCAGGTGCCCCTAAATAAGTCTGTGTTTTGACCTCTGCCCCTATTGATGCACATACATGCATGCATACACACACCAACACACGCACACAGAGGGCTTCATTCATTTTAGGTATAACAATAATTACTTCAGTCTTCATGGATTTTTCCAGCCTTTAAAACTCCTTTTACGTTTGTATTTTGATTTCCATTCACCCTAGCCCATGAGTTAGGCAAGCCATCTTTAAGCAAGTAGTTCTCCTGAATCAGTGAAGCGTATTTGCATTGCAAACATCAGATAAGTCCAGAGGTCAGATAAAACCTCCAGGGAGCACAGAGGAGCAATTTTCTCAAATTGTTGGAGGAAACAGAGATTTGGCTTCCCTCTTGGGTCTTTAAAACTCACAGGAGCGGTGGAGCCCAACCAGTAGTGGGCTGTACTCGACGCTCTAGAGATGACCTAGCAGGGCTTTCATGTCAGACACGGTGACTGTGGGAATCAGCAAAGCTCAGATCAGGGACTGGCCCATTTCCCAATATTATACTTTGTAAACAGTGTAGTGCACAGCACAAACCCCAATGTTAATTGTTGCCTCTCCTCCTGGGCAGTGGGGTTTGGCCCCTGAGAGCAAAGTCACTCCGGAGATAGTGAGTAGAGGAAAAAGGACAGAAATGCTATCAACATTTATTGATTTATTGTGAATTGATACATTTTGTTATATAATTTTAGAAACTTTTGAAGAAGTTTTCAGTTTTTTTTTGCGTACTAAGGTCTGTCTAGCAAAGTTTGCTTACATCAGAATTTTATAAGAATTTTTGTGGAGGGGCACCTGGGTGGCTCAGTAGGTTAAGCGTCTAACTCTTGGTTTCAGCTCAGGTCATGATCTCACAGTTTGGGAGTTCGAGCCCCACATCAGGCTCCTCGCTGACAGTGCAGAGCCTGCTTGGGATTCTTTCTCTCCCTCTCTCTCTGCCCCTCCCCTGCTCATGCACCCGTATGCGCACATTCTGTCTTTCTCTCATTCTTTCTTTTTTCTCTCTCAAAATAAATAAATAAATAAATAAATAAATAAATAAATAAATAAATAAATAAGATTTTTTGGAGAGACTAGGGTAGATGGTGCTTGTGTTATATATTACAAAAAGTATAATTAACATGTAATGTAATGACACACACAAATGGCCTCCATTTCTTTTTCCAATTTACCAAAAAAGTGCATCTCTTCCTTCGGGATGTGTTTGTTATTTACTAAGTGTGGTTGATGTAAAAACTTGCGTCAGTTAATGAAAGGGTGTTGCCTTAGGCCCAGACCCATTTGGAAAAGTTTCTATGTCAGCCACATGCCATCACCCTGGCTTGCCAATGGGTCTTGCTTCTCAAACAAATAAAAACAAGTCTCAAACTATAGCAAAATTCTGAGTTATAAAGAATATAATGATGGACAAGAGCCTCCAAACCTGGAAGAGATTTTGAATGGCTAATGAAAAGAGGGCACCCTGGCCGGTATTAGGTTGCACGGAGAAGATATATATGTTTATTTTGTAACTGAAGGCCTTTTAATGTCTTCACATTTAAACCAATAAAATTTGATTCACCCATAAAAGTAATCATTCCGTTTGTTCTTTATAAAATATTTTTATTTTACAATAAAAACAACCAGCCCCTAACACTGAAGATTCTTAGCTCCATGATCCTTTCTGTAATATCAAACAATTAGTTCCATTTTTTAAAGTATTTGCAGATTAAGTATATAAAATGCTAACTGGATTTTACTCAACTTCTCTGTACCTACAGTAAGTAAGATGCTACTTAGATGTTTGGGGAAGAAAGATCTATAAACAGGGCTTCTGTACCCAAATAGCTCACAACCAAAAGAATCATTGAAAGAGGAAGTAAGGGGTGCCCGGGTGGCTCAGTTGGTTAAGTGTCAGCCTTTGGCTCAGATCATGATCTCTTGGTTCATGATTTTGAGCCCCGTGTCGGGCTCTGTGCTGACAGCTCAGAGTCTGGAGTCTGCTTCAGATACTGTGTCTCCCTCTCTCTCTGTCCCTCCTCCACTTGCACTGTGTCTCTCAAAAATAATTTTTGTTTTTCCAAAAATGAATAAACGTTAAAAAAAAAAAAAGAAAAAGAAAGAGCAAGTGAGTGAAAATATGTACTTGCATAGCTCCAGATAAACTCTACAATAGCACTAAATTGCAGGGTCTGTGTGTATTCCTTTCCTGAAGTATTGCCTTTGGAGTTGCCAAATTTGTATAACCAAGTGAATTTCATTGAAAAAAAAATAACCATATTACAGGCATTTTCAACACTACATTTTTAATTGAGTACTTTATTAGATTTGGCTGTCTCTACTATTAGAGTTGAAGAGTTAATCAAATAGAGACACTGCTGAGAGGATTCAATCCTGAAAATTTTGCTTCTTCCAGTACTTTAGTTTTTAGTCTTATTCTTGAAAACATAAAAAATATGAGAATATTCCCCTCCCCCCATATTTAAATTCAGTAGACAGTTTTAAAATGTGATGACAGAAGAATAGGGAAAGGCAAGGGAAGTAAAAGACCTTCCATGAGGCTGAGATAGGAAAATATTTCAGAATCGAACACCTGTGTCAAACAATCAAACATTTGTCCACTGGGTGCCACTGTCTTCCTTACCAGGCTATGCCACTGAGTGATTACAAAAACAGAAGTTGTCATTAGTATTCAAGACAATGATGTGTGTGTGTGTGTGGGGGGGGGGGGGTGGTGGCTATTTTCTCCTATATCCAAGTATGCCTGTTAAAGCTTCTTTTAAATATCATTAATTTAGGACTTGTCATAAGGATAGTGGAAAATACTAGCCGGCTTTCACTGGTAGTCCAAATTATTTTTGTCAGTCCTATGGCTGAATATTGGCCAGACAGGCTGGTCTGGTGGCCCAGAAACAGGTTGAGGAAGCAGAGGTAATGGAGAGGACAAAGATTTGTGCTGGAACCAAGGAGTGGAAGCTCATGGTATTGTTAACTAATAGATTCTGCCTTTGAGAAAAGGGTAAATTTCACCGTTAGCCAAAGTGTTACCTCCTGGCTTTGCCTCTTAGAGAAGAACATAGAATTTACTGAGAATGGAAAGTATAAATGCCTAGGGCTTCATCTACACGAAAGCATCTTCTGGTCCTGTGCCTCAGTTTACTTATAGTGAAACTTTCTAAGGTCCCTTCCAGCAGAGTTTCTACTGGTTCACTATGAAGAAGAAACCTACAAACAGTGACAAAATAAGATTTTGTCCACTTCCTCTGTGACATCACACAGTAAACAGAATTCCTTGTTGGTTTCCCTCTAGCTAACAATTTTTCTTTATTTCTCTGCAGTCATGTCTCTGTTATAAAAATAAAAGCAATATGAGATCAGGATAATCAGCGATTAAGATTTATAATCTGAGCTAATTACAGCTGTAAGAAGTTTGCAGCAACTCAGTTGGCCAGAGTGAGAAAGGTGCATGAGAATCAAACTTTTGTCCTAGGTAATACAGTAAATAACTCATCATTACCAAGTTTTGCTGAAGAAAATACTTGATTATATTTCCAGTAGGTTGAGATCAGTGGGAGGAAATGCCTGGAAATTAGGTAGTAGATAAAGAACCAAGAGGACCAAGTAGAAGCAAGGGAAAGTGTTAGGGACTAGAGACAAAGGAGTAAAAATGCTTCTGGAGGACCATAAAAAGCAGTTTTTGCATGTGTGCTGGTTTCTATCAGCAGTGTAGATGGGAGGGATGAAAAAAGGGGCTTGGGTGGGCTGTAATTTGTGACCACACACAAACAAATAGATCCCACAACTTTTGTGCTGAGATCCAACTGTTTCCTGTGCAAAGGAAATGTCAGGAAAAGCCACAGTTTCACAATGGAACCCAGATCCAGAGGTCTCCCAGTGCAGAGCGACTCATCAGGGCAGTTCCTGAGACACTTCCTCAGGCAACAGTTTTGGCCCATGTCTCTCCCATTCATCATCAGCTTCTAGTTCCCAGCTCCTAGCAGCAGACCCAGAAGAGCCCAGGCTCCACTACTTGCTAGATTAATGACCTTGGGCAATTTATGTAATCTCTCTGAGTCGCAGCTATCTTATCTAAAAGGGGGAAAACAAACTGGTATCATAGGGCACTTGTGAAGAGGAAATGAGACAAGTGTATCTGGCTCTTAGTAGTTTCCCAATAAAGATTCATTTATCTCCACTTTTAGTGGTCATAACAAAACTATATAGGGGCTCCTGGGTGGCTCAGTTGGTTAAGCCTCCTCTAACCCTTGACTCCTGATTTTGGTTCAGGTGATGATCTCTCTCCTTTTCCCTCCGCACCTCCCCACTACCTCTCAAAAGAAAACAAAACTGGGTGGTTCTCTGTGTCACATGTCATGGGCTAACGTGTGTGTGTGTGTGTGTGTGTGTGTGTGTGTGTAAGGAGCTTCTTTT